GTTTAGGGTTTAGGGCTTTGGTCTTGCTGGTCTCCTCGCGAGGTCCCGGTGGTCTCCTAGAGCCTCAGCCTAGACGAGCACATCAGAGATTACGAAGTGCCTCTCCTTTCCCGTCGTTACAGCAATCGTTATGAAACGCAAAGCCCTGAATGGCCCATACCATAGAAGCCTAAATATATCTTCATGGGTATTTGTCATTTGGGTTTCTTAGATTCCTGAGTATCTTCATGCTACAGAATATACCCCAAGACGCTATCTTCATCACCTTCGCACATACACTATCTCGAGTCGTTGAGTCGCTGAGGGACGCCTCACAGTTGACGGCGATCGGCTGGTAAAGAAGAACAACGAAGAGGCAAAGCTTCGGGGGTCCTTTGAGGGCTCCCTTCAGGGTTTCCTTTTAAGGAATCCACCAAGGAACTCGCTAAGGGGGGGCCCTTCAGGGCTTCAGGATTCAGATGTTGGTACAGTGGCGATGACCATGGCCAACTGCTTGGGTGCGCAGCAAGATCTGGGATTCAAGCTCTGTCGCTCTGAGAATGGCACCCTGATATAGATTTGCCTCCTTTCAAGAGGATCCTAAGTCTTACGGCTCCTGTGGGACGTCTGTCTGTTTGGCTTGCATGCGCTGCTGCAGAAGAGCCTTGGGTCTAAATGTTGCGATTTGAGTTGGAGTGCAGCGCCCTTTCCTGAGGCCTAAACCGCCCCAAAACCCCAAAACCACAGAACTCTGATGCTGCTGATCCCTATGCCATAGGCTCGCATCTAGGGCATCTGCAAAGGTAGAGCATCAAACAGAGGCTTGAACAGTTTGCATTAAATCTCCCTCCACAGTCGGTAGATAATTATATGTTATAACCATATTAGACCATACAAATCGTTTGGAAAGAAAGCCTGTAAACTTCAACCCTATCAAACCATGTGAGCCGATATTCTATTCAATATAAACTCAAATTTTAAAGTTGCGTGAAAGCCTATGAAACCCAATAAAACCCTAGAGCACTATGAAACCCTCAGAAAACCTATACAGCCCAATAAAACAAGTGTTAGGGCCTCTAAATTGGTGCGATCTTGAGGCTCCTGTCTCTCGCCGCTCCCGGTCCAGATCACCACGGGACAAGCAAGCATGCGAGAGCCAGAGAAACCCCCAGCAAGAAACACGACCGGAGGCAGCAGGAAAAGAGAGAAGGGAATGAAGAAGATAAGACGAAAGAGCGGAACATGGCACTGTCGCCCCACAGGGGGCACGTCGGCGGTTGGGATCGCCTTAGTGCCACCCACTGCTTGGGGTCCCGCCCCCCAAAATAGCCAAGCCCAGTCCTGGAAATTCCATGAGCCCAGAAGGTCAGATCAACGAGAAAAACATGAGAGAGAACAGAATGAGAAACGAAGGTCCACGAAATTAGGAATAAGTATTCATCTATCCATTTCACTATCTACCTATTTGTCTATTTCTCTTTTCATTTCATCTATCATTGTGTATCTATCTATCCATCTATCTATCTATTTATCTACCGATCTATCTATCTGGATATAGTCGAAATTGAATCTCGACGTTTGGGAGGTAGAACAATCTTGTCCATTCATTATTCAGATATTCTATTGAATTTCATTTCTCATAGGTCTATTTATTATATATACATATAAACAGATCGATATCATATAACGAAAAATTTTCCAAAAGCATATATTGCAAGAAATGATTTTTTTAAATATATTTCAATTTCTATATTCTATATATGATTTTTTTAAATGTATTTTTCTTGCTCTAATAGATTTCTTAAATTATGAATAGAAAATTATCTCGAATTTAAATTCATATTAAATTATATATATGTTGCGAATCGTAAATTTTGGGAATTAAGATTTTCGAAATATATTCTAGATAATATAATTTAGAGATAGAAATATTAAAGATATGAATTTACTTGTTCTCGGAATTGATAATAGAAATCGATTTTTTCTATAATTTAATATATTTCTTTTCTCGAAAAAAATATTTTATATTCTTATTCGAAGATTGAAATTTAGATATATTAAATATCTATTTCATAATGATAATTACAAGAAATATATTTTTTTTGATGAGGTTGATCGAGAAATTGATTTTGGATAAACGTC